CATATATTCTTATATATACATATAATTCTAAGCTGCAATTGCTGCCATCAACACGCGTCAATACTGACACACAGGATTAATACAATCGTTAATTAAAAAGGAAGCAAGTGGATTGTTAAGCAAACACTTGTGGAATTGGGAAGGCAACTTTTTTTAAAAGCAGTTTTCATCAGTTAAAGCCAACTAGCGTGGTAAGTTTTTCATATTGGCCCACTAACATTTTACAATATTGCATTTGGAGTTTAATTTCATTTTGTTAACAAGTGATAAATTAGTTATTCTAGTCGTATGTGTATACAGTTACATAGTATGTATTTGTATATGTATATATGGATATATATATATATATATATATATATTTCAGGCATATATCAGAATTTAGATAATGTGTGTATAGTTTGTTGTTGTAAACTAGTGAACATCGGCAAAGAACACTTTTTTGTTGCCTTTTTCTCTGTTAAGTTATTTTGTAAGTTTACTAAAATATTAATGATTCAGTTTCATTTCCTATACAGATTTAATATCACGTTGATCGCTTACACTTTTTGCTTTTGTTACACATTGTTTTTTCATTATTTTTTTTTTTTGTGTGTTTCGTTATTGAGTTTTGAATTGCTTTTAGCCGAATAAGTTAACAATAGTAGAGATAGATAGATATATATAGAGAATAGACAGACAAGAAGTAACAGAAGATACACTGGTAAAATTTCGATATGGCCAAATTATATACACATAGGTTCTAACAATTTTAACAGAGACGTGCGTTCAAAAGTTTCCTACTCATGGTTCATGATTATGCACAAATTGCTCAAGCTGTTTGTGCAGCTGATCCTTATAACGGATCTTATGCTTGCTAAGAACCGTCGCACATAAGCACTGCAGCGATACGTAATTGAGTAGCGGTATGGTGTTGGTGGGATTGGAGGCTATGGAGTCGTAGGGTCGCTTCTCCGCCCGATTCGGTTGATCAATGTCCGCGCCACACTTAAGCAGCAGGTGCACAATCTGCAAGATTACATAAATATTTCATTAATTCCGTGTGAAAGGAAAAATACGATCAGGATCTTACCTCATTGTCGTAGTTGTAAGGCTGGCATGCTACATGCAGGGGTGTTGATTTGGCTTCATTTTTTGTGTTGACGTCTATGCCGCATTCGATGAGCAATTTAATAACATCTGCATTGGGAAACACAGTCTTCTACAAGCATCAATATAATATAATTAATAATAGCTTTAAACTTAATTTAAAGTCCACTAAACTCACATCGGAAAAATTGTCTTCGGTGATGTAACCACTTTTGATAACATTTAGCCGTGAGGCCCCCAAATGAAGCAGCGTGTCGGCAGTGCTGGCGCTACGCAAGTTACCAAGAACGACCGTCTCGTGGACGGCTTGAAATATTACCTTGTGCTGAGCCTCTGTGTGGACGGTATTGATCAGCAGATAGATGAGATGGGCGAGGCAGCGCAATACACGGTCATAGTTCTCCTGCTGGCGCCGGAAGACGGGACGCACTTGCAACAGCTCCTTGACCTCGACGGCGCTTACGGAGAGCGTACGAAACACGCCCAAGACATCTTCAAATCTGGGCAGCAAGTTATCCTGATGCATGAAGCGAGCGCGTGCATCACTTCGCATGTGGCTCGAGTTTCGCACGTGCAAATCTAACATGAGACGCACTAACGCCTGGGCAGCAAAACAGGTCTCGAAATGCAATATGGACCAATTGGAGACACGCACCTCAAGCAAAAAACGCCAGAGATCAATGCAGCGTTGGAGCTGCAGAGAGTCAGCGTACGAGGCACCTCTAAACGTCAAACGGAACAGCATGTCCTTGTGTGTCAAGCCCAATACACGTTCACAAATTAACAGACTTTGCGTGCGCATAGCATCCATATCCGTGGCAATGTTATCAAGCTCCTCTAAAGTCGCAAATTCGACGGCATTTTCATACGCATTCCGTAAAGGTACCTTTGGCTTCTTTTCAATGTAAGGCGTGTAGGCGGCGCGTATGTGATGTGCCATGCGCCAATGGAGGATGCATACGCGAGACTCATTGTGCTCGTCCAGAAATGTTGAGCCCATTAGTTCATGCGCCTCAGCGATGCGTTCAACTGAATAATTCAATTCCTTTTTCAAATAATCAAATATTTGATGAGCGCCCTTAAGGCAGGCAGTTCGCAGTGCATCGTCACCGTAGCGACTCTTAGCAAAGGGATCAGCACCCTGCTCTATAAGCATTCTGGTGGTGTCCAGTCGATGCTCCTGTATGGCATAGTGTAGCGCCGTTTTGTCCTGTATGTCGCGTGCATTGATGTCGGCTCCCTTGCGCACCAGATACAGGCAAAGCTGCACGGACTGCACCGAGTTAATCAAGCATGTGCCGCCATTGATGTTTGGCTTCTTGATGTCTGCACCGTTCTCCACCAGAAACTTGACTGTTAAACATGCAGAGTGAGCAACAAATAGAAATATGAAGAATGGATTTCACATACCAATATCTGTGTTCGTCATGTAACAGGCACTTCGCACTGGCGTTGAGCCCGAATCTGATGTGGCATTTATGTCACAGCCGATCCGCACCAGATACTTAACCATGGACAGCTTGCCGGATACGACAGCTGCCCACAGCGGCGAGACATGGTGAAAGCTATTGTCCTCGGGCACCTCAAAGTGTCCACGCTGCTCAATGTCCGCCTCGCACATGGTTATGAGATACTCGGCAATTACTACTGCGCCACGTTTGCAGGCAATAAAAAGTGGCGCACAGCCATTGCGTTGCTTTCTAACCACCTCGCGTCGGGACTCACGTGAATGCCTGCAAAGAGTAGGAAGTGCGATTAGGATGAAATTTTGTTGGGTACTCAAACTGCTGATAAGTCGTCTGCCTCAACGGCACACAACAACAAAAAAAAAACAATAGCAACAAAAATATTGATTATACGGTAATTGGTCGCTTAGCGCTTATCAACGGACGTGAAAAACGTACGAGTAGCTCGGTCAATTATTGGTAGCGTATATGTAAACATTATTTTATTAACTAAATACATACTTTTCGAGCTCATGGCGTAAATGGCGCGGCAAGATGGAGTCCTCGTGGCTGCGTTTGCATTCCTCGATGAGCTCATGGTTTAGTTTCGTGATTTCCATTTTGGGACTACTCTGCTTGCGTTCGGTGGCCATGGGGCTGGAGTGCCCCTGGAGCTGATGAGTGCCTTCAAGTCTGGAGTTCATTGCCAGTGCACAATTTCATTGCCAAGTGCCAAATAGCGCTCGCGTCCTGTGAGTGCAATTTTATTTAGGTTGCGAATCGTTCCAAGGCCTTTCAGTTTTCGCTCTGTGGCCCAAGCACTTTCTTTTTTTCTTCTTAATCAATTTTGGTGTGTGAGAATGTAAAATATAAGCGAGTTTTTGGACCACTGCAGTGCATAATATGTTTAGAATCTGGGTAAAACTCAATAACAAACAATAAACAGGTAACGTTTTCTTTGACTATTTTTATATTTTCATTTATTTAATGTTTATGTGTAGCAAAAAATATACAACAACAAATGACAAAACAGAGTGAACAGCTGTCCCAGGCTGCCAGTGTTGACAAAAACTCTGACGGTGCTGGAAAATTCGCAACCAACTCATTTTTAAATTCACTATGCTTCTGTTCATTAAAAATATTGGCAGAGCCTTCGCGAATATTTTTAACCTAGAATATAAGTTCTTTGCATCCAAAATCATGATGGCTAGGAGTAAGATATCAACATGTTGATTTTTTGTTTGCAAAGAACCGACAGTCTATCTGAATGTTTACAGTTCAGTTCGTACTGTAATGTTAATGTGTTGGTTTATTTTCTTTCAAATATTTATAATAATCGATAATTTTAAAGCCTGCTGTACACCGGAGTCAGTTAAATTCAAATAAAACACTCAATAAATTTTTTATTTTTAAATTAGCTGCTATCCAGAAGAGTTCTTTTTAAATAATAATCAAATTGATGAATTATTTTACTGACATAATCAATCATTATTCTTACTGATTATTTCGAACTTTTAATATATTTCATGAATTGCTTGTTTCTGTTAATAACAGTTAAACAACGCTTATGTTATTTTCTCTGTAATGTTTAACAGAACATTTTAGGGCTGCCAATCGGTAATAGCGACGCGCTGCGCTTGGGCCCTGTTTGTTGTTGTGTGTATAGAAGAATTTAAAAATAGTTTTTATTTAATAACCAATCTAAGTAATGGATCCAACAATTTTAATGGATGAAACAAAGCTCGACACTTTTCGCGAGCTCAATTTGCTTGAAAAGCATCGCGTAGAGAGTTTCAAGGACTGGCCCTTTTCAGCTAAGTCCACATGCAGCATTGGCAAGGCAAGCAAGTTGTGAAACTGATAGCAAACTATTTTGTTAATATACCGATTATCTTGCAGATGGCTGAGGCGGGGTTCTATTGGACTGGCACCAAACGTGAAAACGATACGGCTACCTGTTTTGTGTGCGCTAAAACACTAGATGGCTGGGAGTCGGAGGACGATCCTTGGAAGGAGCATCTGAAGCACGCTCCGCAATGTGAATTCATTAAACTGGGCTGTCCAGAAAAGGATTTAACTGTAAGTGCGCAGACGCCACGGACAACAAAGTTAAAATACATGTACTTATCAGTTCACCGATTTGCTTTTAGGTGGAGCAATTTCTGAAAATATTTTGTACTGTTGTTAACAGCAACATAGAGAAGAATATTAAGCAATTTAAATCGAAATTCGTTAAGGACAATGAAAGCAAGCTGGACGAGTTCACACATATGCTATCTTAAAATAAACTTTATGCGCATTTAATATTAATACATATATTACAAAATACAGTTCGCTTGTTTGATTAAAAGATAATTCTCATCATTCGCGCATTGCTTAGCAGCGCTGTTGTAAAATTAAATCAGTTGGCAACGCGGTTAAAAGTGTCCGGTGTTAAAATTAGCTAAATTTTTTATAATTTGTAAAATCAAATCGGGGTGCACTAAAAAACTTAAAAATTGTAATTTTTGCAATGTTGAAACGAAAACTGGAAAAGAAAAAAGCGGCAGCCCTTGACCTGAAGAAGTTAAAAACAATTCAGCCTGATGCATTAACTTCAGGACTGTTTGTCCAACCATTTTGGATGCAGTTTTATAAAATTGAATGCCAATTGAATGAGCAACTGGCTACGCTTGGACTGCCCACGGGCATTACATGTACTTACAATCCAGTCGAGTATGCGTCGTCGTTGCATTGTGCCTATTTAAGTCGTTATTTATGTGGACCCAAGCGTGTCATATTTATAGGCATGAACCCTGGGCCAAACGGCATGGGCCAGACAGGCGTAAGTGTGCCCAACAGCTAGCAAGAGGCTAGGTCACATTTACTGTGTTTGTATATTGTATCTAGGTACCTTTTGGAAACGTACGCACCGTGCGCGACATGATGCATCTCTCTGGCGAGGTGCTGCAGCCGTCTGTGCTGCATCGTAAACGTCCTGTAAATGGATTAAATTGCAAGATTGAGGAGCCGAGCGGTGTGCGGTTGTGGGAGCTGTTTGAGCGTTTGGCTGCCGGCAGTCTAGATACCCTTTCGCAACAATGCTTTGTCCACAACTTTTGCCCCCTGGCATTCTTCGATGAAGAGGGTCACAACATAACACCAAGCGAACTGAAAGGCCAATTAAAGCAGCAGATTCGAGACATGTGCTTGGATGCATTAGAGAAGCAGCTGCAACTGTTGCAGCCGCAATTTGTGGTGGCAGTAGGAGAGTATGTTCACAAGGTGCTGAACAGATCGTCGTATTGTAAAACAGTTTCTGTGAGCCGCTTACCACATCCAAGTCCGCGCTCGCTTCACAATACTAACTGGTCAGAAAAGGCTCAGGCTTTTTTGGAGGAGCAGGATCTTATCAAGTTTATGCGCAATGAGGCGCAAGGTAATTCTTATTGATTAAGTTAAACAAACAACTATAAAAATCTATAAATAAGTTAGTAGAACTAAGATATTTTGTATTTCGATTAAGCTGTAGGCCAGTGTTACCCTATTGCTGTCGGCTGAGTTGCCAACCATCGCGACGGTGAACAGCTGATATTTGCTTGTTATTTTTTGCTTGCTGTGTCGTGGCGTCGTAGTCTGGTCTGTTTTTGTTTGACCAAACTTAAATTGAGATATTTCCATGCCAAATGGCCGCGTTTATGGAGGATGCTTTAGTGGAAGCGCGGCGAGCACGTGACGCCGGCGAGGTGCCCGTTGGTTGTGTGTTTGTGCACAACGACAAGGTAATCGCACGTGGCGGGAACGAAGTGAATGTACACCGGAATGCAACACGTCATGCGGAATTCATATGCATCGATGCCACCTTGGCCTACTGCCGTGAGAAGCGCCTGCCGGCACGCCAGGTGTTCAGCGAAATCAGCGTTGTGGTCACTGTGGAGCCCTGCATAATGTGCTCTGCTGCCTTGCACACGCTGGCCGTCAAGGAGATTATCTATGGCTGCGAGAATGATCGTTTCGGCGGCAAGACGGTCATAGATGTGGCTGCCGTGGTTGGTCAGCGGATCAACATAACTGGCGGTGTGCGCTCAGAAGAGGCCATGGCGTTGCTAAAGGAGTTCTACAAGGGCGACAATCCAGCGGCCCCACCAGTGGCAAAGAAGAAGAAATGACTGGCTCATTGTTAGCAAAAAAAAAAAAAAAAAAAAAAAAAAAAAAAAAACAAGAAGAAATAACTAAACACCGTAGTCACCTTAAGCTTCAGCTCATGTAAACGTTTTTGTATATGTTTTAATTTATTGTAAACTTTAAGCATAGACTAAGCTAAATATGGCGTTCAGAACGTTAGTTTTAATATAAATACAATTACTGCGTGAAAAGCAACAACATGTTGTGCGTGTGAAAGGCTGTGCCAATGCAATTGTTACAGGCAATTAAACACAAAAAATGCTGTTTTGTATCAAGTTTGAAAAATCACGGATAGTACCGTCACCAGAAATTGTTATAAGCCCATGTTAAACTTATTGTAATTGCACTACAACCTAAGCTAGTCTTTTGGCTCGTCATTTGCTGCGCAAGCTGCTTTTGAGTTGTGAGCTTGCGCAGCAAACAAATGCGTTGCCTTTTACAATTTCTAAATTAATGCTATGTGTATGTGTTTTAGATGCGAAGATTGCGACGTCTGTGGCCAATGTTGACCCACTCCAGCGGCACACTATCGCCCACATTGTATGTGGCTGGGGTGCAGCTGGTTAGCTTTTTGGCAGGCTCGCAGCGGCGGCTCACATTCCAGTAGGCAAAGCCTTGCGGGCAGCGGTATATTTGGCCCTCGATGCGTCCTGTCTGCTGGGAGTAGCCGCATTTGACAAACACCTGGCTGCATTCATCCTGATTCAGGGCAAAGTGCCCCTCCTCCGGGCAGAGCGGCGCTGTGGAATGGATTGGCACCTAAGCAAAGAGATTTTACGTAAGTAAAGCTGCACAATTTGATAGATAAAGTTAAACTTGCCAGGTTAAGTGGTTGCGGTTCCTCCTCAAAAAGCTGCGTACGTGGGATCAATACGTCGTTTTTGCTGCAGGTATCGTCCGGCCCTGGCTTGGCGCAACGGCATGATGCTTCGTGATAAACGGTACCATTGGGACATTGGAACAGCACAATATTTAGATTTGAATTTGAATTCTCATTGCATTGGTAAAATACGCCGCATTGCTTGGAGTGCCGACGGAAGCCCGATGGGCAGACAAACAAGCTTTGGTCCTCTGTAGTCGTGGGACATGGAGCACTGGAGTTGGTTGATGGCTCTGGATCAGGGTTGGCTTCCGTAGTTGTCTCTACTGGCTTATTAGTAGTTATAGGGTCAACCGGGCCACCTGTGGTGCTAGGCGTGTATGTTGTTGTCTCGGGCTTAACTGTTGTCACCGGTTTCACAGTGCTTGTTGGCATCTCCGTCCATGGTGTGGTTGCCTCACTAGGGTTTGTGGTTGAAGTCACGCTGCCAGAGGAGCAGTTACCAGACACCTGATCTGCGTAGTTGCAAGTCTCCAGCGATGTGTCCCACACTGTGCCCTTTGGACAACGGAACTTGTATACTTGATATTTATCATTGGTTTTTGTACAGCGATAGTAAATGCTGCAATCCTCAGGATCGGCATGGAAACCTTCAGCAGGGCACTTGAAGTTGACTGCCGACTCTTGCGTAGTGCTCGGATTGTCTTCAGTTGTAGTCGGAGGATATCCTGGGAATGATGTTGTATAGCCAGTTGAAGTCTCTGGGTACGCTTCTGTGGTGCTTGGCTTACTGACTGGATAATCAGTGGGTTTAGTGGGAATTCCCGTTGGCTTTTCCGTATAATCAGTAGGTTTTGTTGGCGCGTCAGTTGGCTTTATTGTGGAGTCTGTTGGCTTCCAAATATTTTCTGTAGTGGTTGGATAATCTGTCGTCGGCTTCGTTGGAGGATCCGTTGGTTTCGTAACTGTTTCAGTTGTTGGTTTTGTTGGTGGTTCAAAAGTGGTTGGTTTCGTAACTGTTTCAGTTGTAGGTTTTGTTGGTGGTTCAAAAGTGGTTGGTTTCGTAACTGTTTCAGTTGTAGGTTTTGTTTGTGGTTCTATAGTGGTTGGTTTTGTTATGGCCTCAGTAGAAGTTATTTCGGTTGTAGTTTCTGTTGGAGCTTCAGTTTGACCCGCGCAACCTGGCACATTTTGAGCATGATCACATGTTTGCAAGTCTTCATTCCAACCTGTATTCTTGGCGCACATGAATTCATGTTTCGAGTACGAGTCGCCGGTCTTTTGGCAGCGATAGAACTTGCGGCAATTGTTGGGATCAGCCATAAATCCTTCGCCCTTACATTTGGTGCCAGGTGGCAAGTTGGGTACCTTGGTAGTAGTTTCGGGAATCATGGTTGTAGTTTGAGTGCTTGTTTCAGTTGATGAAGCTTCCGTGGTTGTGGTCCATGTTGTAGTAGTGGGCTGATTTTCATTTGTGGTCGGTTTGGTCGTTGTAGTCCATATTGTTGTAGGTTTGTATGTAGTGGTGGGCTGGTTGGTTGTAAATTGTTCGGTTGTTGATTCAGTAGCCGGCTCAGTTGGACGATTTGTTGTACTGGGCTCAAATGTGCTGGGTGATAAGGTGGTCTCTGAAGTCGGTTTAGATGTAGGCTTTACCGTGGTATTGTCACAAGGACCCTTATCAGACTCAGTGGTGGTATTACCACCGCCATCCTCGGGGATTGGATTGCACGCATTCAAATCGTGATTGCACGTTTGTAAGTCCTGATCCCAAACTGTACCCGCAGCGCAGTGGAATGGCACCTGGCTAAAGCCGCCCTTGCCATTGCTTATGCAGCGATAGAATTTGGCACAGTTGCTTGGATCACCAATGAAACCCTCAGATTTGCACTGTACATTCCCAGATGAGCTCGTTGGTTTTTGTGTAACAGGTTTCTGAGTAGTTGGTTTATGCGTAGAGGGTTTCTTCGTTGTTGTATCTTGAGTGGTTGGCTTAAGCGTAGTCGGTTTTACCACTGGCTTTAGCGTGGTCGAGGATTGACCGCCGTAACTTGGCGTTGAGTCTGTAGCTTCTGGCCGTTCAGTGGTTTCGCTGCTGCCACAGCTTTTGTCCTTAACGGCCCAGGCATGATTACAGGCCTCAATCTGACCATCCCATACAGTTCCAGGGGGGCAGAAGAAGGCCACCGTATTAAAACCACCTCTATCATTGTCTACGCAGCGATAAAACTTGGCACAGTTCTTATTATCTCCTAAGAATTGTCCATTAACCTTACAGCTACCAGACGGCATTGGGGATGAGGTGGAACTTGAGGTACTTGAGCCTGATGTTGTTGAGCTTGTACTGCTGCTAGATTGCGAGTTTGACGATGTGGTTTGCTGTGTTGCGCTGCTGCCTGATGATGATGACGTGGAGGATGAAGTGGACGATTGTTGGGTATTGCTGTTATTGCTACTGCTGCCGCTTGTCTGTTGGGCAGGGGTGACGCGCTTGCATTTAAGGCTTTGCATATCAACTTGTGATGGATGGTTACAGCTGTTGGCCTCGGGATGCCAAATCGTATTTGGTGGGCAAGTAAATGATACTTTCGTGAAGCCACCCTTGCCATTATCAACGCAGCGATAGAATTTCGAACAGTTTTCATTGTCAGCTAAGAAGGTCTCTTCACTCTCGCACTTCTCCGCCGGCTTAAATGGTTTCTGAGTCGTAGTGGTTGATTCTTGGCTGGAAGTCGTTCCTTGATTGGATGACGATCCTTGATTAGAGGAGGAACCTTGATTAGATGATGATCCTTGATTTGAAGACGTTCCTTGATTGGAAGAGGATCCTTGATTAGACGAAGAACCTTGATTAGACGAAGAACCTTGATTAGACGATGATCCTTGATTCGACGAAGAACCTTGGTTGGAGGATGAGCCTTGATTGGATGACGTTCCTGAACTAGAGGAGGATCCTTGATTGGAGGATGATCCTTGATTTGATGAAGAGCCCTGATTTGAGGACGAACCTTGGTTGGTGGACGATCCTTGGTTGGAGGTTGAGCTTTGATTGGATGACGTTCCTTGATTGGAGGAGGAACCTTCATTAGAAGAGGATCCCTGATTAGAGGAAGATCCCTGATTAGAGGATGTTCCTTGATTCGACGACGAACCTTGATTAGATGAAGATCCTTGGTTGGAGGACGATCCTTGATTAGATGATGATCCCTGATTAGAAGACGACCCTTGATTCGACGACGAACTTTGGTTGGAGGACGATCCTTGATTAGACGATGAACCCTGATTAGAAGACGATCCTTGATTGGATGACGATCCTTGATTTGAAGATGATCCTTGATTGGATGACGACCCTTGATTTGAAGATGATCCTTGATTGGATGACGATCCTTGATTGGAAGATGACCCTTGATTGGATGACGACCCTTGATTTGAAGATGATCCTTGATTGGATGACGATCCTTGATTAGAAGACGAACTTTGGCTGGAGGACGATCCCTGATTAGACGATGAACCCTGATTGGAGGAAGATCCTTGATTGGAAGACGATCCTTGATTGGATGACGATCCTTCATTGGAAGACGACCCTTGATTGGAAGACGATCCCTGATTGGATGACGATCCTTGATTCGACGATGAACTTTGATTGGACGACGATCCTTGATTGGAGGAAGATCCTTGATTGGATGACGATCCCGAATTAGAAGAAGAACCTTGGTTGGAGGAAGACCCTTGATTTGATGCCGATCCTTGATTAGAGGCTGATCCTTGATTGGAAGACGATCCTTGATTAGAAGAAGAGCCTTGATTGGAAGATGAACTTTGGTTTGAAGCACTGCCTGTACCACTGGCCATGGCCTTGCATTGCTCTTTTTGGACATCCGTTGGATGGTTACAGCCCTTTGAGTCGGGGTCCCAAACAGTACCAGGTGCACAATCAAAAGCAATTTTATCAAAACCACCATTGCCATTATCAACGCAACGGTAGAAGCGAGCACAATCCTTTTTGTCGGGCAAATAAGTTTCCGTATCCTCACATTCACCGTCAGGATTTTGTGGCTTGGAAGTTGTGGTGGTTCCCGAGTTTGAAGAACTTGTGGAATTTTGAGCTCCAGAGGTGTTGGATGTAGAAGCGGACGACTGGTTATTGGAACTCGAAGCTGAAGATGAGCCTTGACTGTTGCCTTGAGTGGAAGACTGATTGCTAGAGTTGGACGATGAGGAGGAGCCCTGATTGTTGCCTGATGAACTTTGTTGACTGCTCGAAGATTGATTGCTGTTTGATGCGGATGTTTCTTGCTGATTGCCAGATTGATTGCTACTATTATTGTTGTTGGAGCTGGAGTTAGAGGTACTCGATTGATTGCCACTTGTTGAGGCATTCTGGTTGCTGCCACTGGAGGTGCTGTTACCACTTTGATTATTTCCACTACTAGATGACCCAGATTGTATGTTGCATTCTTTCTTTTGATCTTCGCTGGGCAGAACGCAAACTTTTTCCTCTTGACCCCATACAGTGCCAGGACCACATGTAAATGGTACTTTCTCAAAATGTCCATTGCCATCTAAACGACATCTGTAAAACTTGGCACAATCCATTTTATCGGGAATGTATGTGTTCTCATCCTCGCACTCGTTCGCAGTAGGTTTTACAGCATTTTGATTTGATTCGCTGTTAGATCCACTCGAAGATTGATTGCTTGATGAGCCTTGGTTGCTCTGATTGCCGCTGGAAGATTGGTTACTGCTAGAGTTTTGATTCTGGTTATTGTTCGAGCTTTGATTGTTAGAGCTTTGATTCTGGTTACTGCTTGAGCTGCTACCTGTGTTTTGATTATTGCTCGAGGACTGATTATTTCCAGAGCTTTGGTTCGAAGAACCCGAGCTGGTTTGCTGGTTGCTACTGGTTGAGCTCTCTGTGCTGCTTGAGGACTGTGTGCTGCTGGAGCTGGATGTAGATTGTTGATTGCTGCTTGATGTGGAAGACTCTTGATTTGAACTGGATTCTTGTTGATTTGAGGAGCTGGAGGAAGAGGAGTTACTAGACGACGTGGACGTTGAGGAGCTTGTCGAAGAACTTTGCTGACTGTTTGACGACGAGGACGATGAGGTGGAATTCTGATAGCTCGTTTGGGATGACTGTGTCGATGTTTGGTCATCGCTCAGAGGGGCAGCCTGATTGCGGCAACCGCCATTAGCACGTACATCAAACATATGGTTGCACGACTGCAGAGACTCATCCCAGGCGGTGCCGTCCGAGCAGCGAAACCCGATTTTATTATAGCCACGTCCATTGGAGATGCAGCGATAGAACACGGTGCAGTCACTGGGATCACTCATAAATCCATCATCCTCGCACGCCACACCCTCATCGCCGGCCGAACGCAAAGATGATGAGCTCGAAAAGGATATGACTGAAACACCACTCAGTCCTGTCAGTCCATAATTTGTGGGCAACTGATTTGCAGTTGCATAGGTGTGCAGCTTCAAGGCGGCGGGTGTGACGGCGCTGTTAAGCATCGCATTATGTCCATTCTGGTTACTGACGAGCCCATCAAACGCCAGCTGGCTGTCGGTCTCGACGCTACTATCGATTTCATTCATATACTGTGCGCATTCCCCACGACCGGCCAGCATCGATGGCATACACAACTGCAGGGTACGCGAAAAGACCGTGCCTTCCCTACAGGCGAACATGTACGGTTTGATGTAATGCTCGGAACGCTTCTCACAGCGATAGTAGATGCGACAGTCGTAGTCATCGGGAAATAGTCCTTCCTCCGGGCAATAGAAGGCGACGTCATCAGGGGCAGTGCGTGCATAGACTGACGAAGATGAAATGTCTGCAATAAAAGTCAAGCCATATACGTTTTAGTTTCGGGCTATTGCGATTAAAAATATAAATTAATATTGTCACGTCCAACGACACTCACAGAGTGCATTTTAGCCTGCTGCTTGTCAAAGAACCTATACGATATATATACATACGTATATATATAAATATATATAGGATATATGCAGGCAATTCAGAACCGGCCGCTGGAACAAACCATTCAACTGAAACTTCCTGTCACAAATGCCCCGCCTGAATATATTTTGCTCAATTTCGTCTGACATTTTGCGCTCGTTCCTCTCTTTTGGAGCAGGATTTTTCGCGTTGTCAAAATAAAATTGATAATTTATTGTCATTCAATGGATGAGCGAGTTTTTTTTTTTTTTTGTTGCTCTGCTTCTTCTTATACTGCTGCTGATGCTGCTGTCGCGCATTCCAATAAATTTAATGCATTTATGGCCCTTACAGCGGAACAAATTCATTTGGAAAATGAATTGTGTATGTTTTATTTTTATTTTTTTATCCACATGCCCACATTTCCATTTGCCACAATAATTTTTATTTTTTTTTTTTTATTTTTTTAGGGCATGTCCTTATAAACCAAATTGTTGTTGCGGCATGCAAATCTGGCAAAAACATTGTAAACGCGCGTCTAAAAATTAGACCTCACCAGGGATTGGCATAAATTTGCATCAGTCACTATGTGAATTTTATTGCAGCATGTAAGCCAAATCCAATGCTTTATGGCCTGACGGCGTGCTCTCAACCATTCAGGTCCATTTACTGTGCCAAAATATCCAAATCCAAGGCCCATAAAACTTAATTATGGCTAATGTGTGGACCCTACTAGTCCTGATATACAAAATTGCCATGAGCCTTTTTTACAATAAAGATTTATAAAAAATCTCGGCATAAATATGAGTCGGAACTCTGAGGAAAAAGTAAGACGTATTTTTTTGGACAAAGGAACAATAATTGGTATTTCGGAAATAAAATTGTTGTAGCCAAAAAACGAAAAAGGAAATGTACTTAAAAGCGGCAGCGTGAAAATATTGTGATGCTAAAAGAAAAGGAAGAAAAGGATGTGGAAAACCAATTGATGCCTGATGCTCAAAAATGTTCCTCTATTATAATATACAGGTAAGTGCGTGTTTATCTGATATTTTCTAAAATGGACATACATAGTGTTGAATAACACAATATATATATAAATATATATATATATATAAGTATAATTTCCATATAAAGCCTTCCAGCTCAAGTGTTGAATAACGAAAATTAGCTTAAAGGCAGATCCAATAAGCGCATTAAATGCTTTAAGTGTTGTTGCAACAAATTCCTTAAATTTAAGCAGCCCAACAAACATAAAGTGAGAAAACATACAAATTTAATTCAAATACAGTATTGTAACATGCACGCGAGCAAATCGCCGCGTCCATTACTTAGGCAGAGTATTCGCATGGCTGTCGTTGAGGCGAAATTGAGCGTTTTGTGATTTTAATTATATATGATGTGTACTTTGGAACTTATGCAAAATGAAATAAAAGGAGCGACCGCAAACTTATGTGGCGCCCAGCTGGCGACAGGCGTAACGTGGCCCGGCCACAGGCTGACCGCATAGCATGGCCGCAAATAGTTTAGGATATGCCACGTTCCGGGAGCAGGCATCGCCAAAATGTGTGTAAGTATGTTGCGTTAAAATTTCAATTTGCAGCATTAAAGCACATTATGGCATAGTAAATGTAGTTATAAAAGCTTAAAATATTCGCTGTTAGCTTTCACGAGCGTCCTTCTTTTTGGCGTTGGTATGCAGAATTTTGGCTAGCACTGTGCCGTCGCCACTTATTAAGCCAATGACAAAAAGTAATTAGAATTTTTCTATTCATTTTATAATTAAATATTTATTGAGCATGGCCGTTGTGTGGTTTTATTATGGCAATAATAAAGAGGATGACCGTCATTAAGTTTGTTTCCTCGTTGGCCCAACAAATTGTACAAATTGCACAAGTTGCCACAAGTGGAAGGGGACGCTGTTTGGGGCTGTTGTCAAGTGGCGTGTTGCCAATTTAAATTTCACTGTGATAAATTGCAAGCATGTTTGGCTTGAAAGAGAAAGAAAGTAACAGAGAACTAGCGTAATATTAAATATAGTTTAGTTTTTATCAGTAAACTAGCTCAATCCGCCTTGGGCATATGCTGTGTGACGTATCAAAGCGATTAAGTGGCGCTTAATGAGTTATTAAAAGTTTTGGCATTATATATCAAATTTAGCTACTGGCCCGAGGCGTACAAAGTTGTTGTGTATATGCCAATCAGTTAAGCAACACACATTTGTGTATATCTGCAGCTGGGCTAAAAAGCTTTCAGACCAAATTAAAATTTTAATACAGATGATTAAGCAATTAGCAGCTCAAAAGATCGCTTTAGAGTAAAATACTGTATACTGGCTAGGCTACAGATATTACGAAAAGTTCGAAAAAGACAAAGATACTTTTATTTTTGATATGTGTCATTTCTTTTAAAGTAACGCAAAGCAAAACTTCACATTCTGTTGCGTGCTGTTAGAAACGTTGTTAATTATCATCGGGTTTTTGCTCAGAACTCCCAGGCAGGCTTGAGCCTCGATTTGATTACCTTACATTGCAGCCAGACTAATACAATAAACTATCTCTTCCAGTCTGTTTCTGCATAAACGCCAGCGTAACGAGTACTTTGGATACTCTGAACTTAGGGCAAGTTTCTGGTTACAAACTTTCTAGCTTCCCTCTAAATATACATGCCATTTCCTTTACTTTCCTTAAGCGATTATACGTATGGGAAGTGCATTAGCCACGGCCTCTATAGTCTGATCTTTGCTTCTGTAAGGCTCCGCCTTTGAAAATTGGTTTCCAATTTCTTTAAATACTTTCTAACTCTTATATCTTTATTGAGTCTTAAGCTATTTTTTACACATATGGGGGTTAGTTCGATTCGGCTCGTCGAGCTGATCAAGAAAATGAATTCGGCCTGTTACCTACATCTACATAAAAACATTATACCCATTTTACACATTTTCAAGGGGTTCAGGGTATAAATATGCAGTTGTCAGTTTTCATTTTGCCTTCTTTTTTTCTCCCATTGCATTCTTGGCATGCTGAAAGCTGTATTCGCTTTGTACGAGCAGTTGCATGTTGTAAATATGATATTTGGATTTTTGAGCTCCTGTCCAAGTTTGTCGCTCCAATAGCATCTACTGCTACTGCTTCTGGGCTTGGGGTAATTTCATTTGCGTCTGGTGGCATTTTGTCGCTAACTTTATGTTTGACAACGTACGTGTGCGGCCAGGATGGCGTCGACGGTTTCATGATAGAGAGACCGAAAGATACAGGGAGACTGTGAAGAACACGGAGAAAGAGAGAGAGAGAGAGAGAGAGAGAGAAGGAAAGATCTAAAGAGGCTGGCCAAGATATGTTTTTTTGTGCAGAATCTAAATTATAAATCTGTCTGGAAACAAATTGATTCCAGGGCTTATTGCGAGTGTGAGTATTTCGAGAGGTTATTAAAAGAAATCTGAATTTTCTAAGAAAGTGATAAGAGTACTTCTCAGGTGTTTAACTATAGCACTTCCAGTCAGGGTACAGGGTATTTTCCTGTTGATCATTTTCGACTGGCTCGCATAAGCTTGTTTGCAAGTGTGTGTCTATCCCGCGGCCTTAGATGCTCCAAATGACCAACAAGAAGAAATTCAATTTATTATGCAGCTTGATTTTTTATTTTTTTTTTTTTTTGACATTCTGTGCGAGATGACAGTGCGCCTGATGCTATGACAGTTGCTTCGTATGATGGCTGGCATGAAAAAGCAAACTGTACGCTAATTCCAACAGCTGTCCTTGTTGGAGATTCCGTTTGCTGTTTGCAGCTCCTATTGCTCCGTTTACTACTTTCGAATGCGAGGCGGCAGCTGCGTTTGAATTTCGCGCTGGGCTGCGCTCGAACAGCTTTTAATATTGGAAATGTCCTTGAAAACATTGCAATGGCCAGTGCAACGAATCGGAGACCATTACTCATACGCAGCGTGTGACACAGTTGCCATATTTTTGGTGCAAACTTCTTCATTGGCATGCATAATTTATTTTTGTAGATAAACTGGTAAGAAATTGCTGACAGCTGCCATAAATATATTAAATATTTAAATGCCTTTGCCGCACATTTAAATGGAAATTGCTTGTGACTTGGCAGCAATTAATTTGAATTTTATCAACTCAAAAGCATTAGTGCCCATCATGTCAACTAAGTAGATGGCATGGCACGAAATACTGGCCATCTATTGAATTCCTGCCTGGCTGTCTGGGTGTCTGCCTGGCTGCTGCTAAATTAAACATAAAGCGCTTTTAGTTAGAATCACGTTCGTCTCAATTAAACAACATTAAATTCAATTAACAAGCAGCAGGAGGCAGCGGCACAAAATGTGAGCAACATTGTCATTACGGTTAGAGCCGAGCCGAGCCGTTGGGTAAAAAGCTTTGTATGGGCGACCTTACCTACTATAACTGGCAAAAGAGCCAGTGACAGTGCCGTTCTTGGCCATGCCTCGTCTTCGCAACAATTGACTTTCATTACTTCTTACAATCATGTTGCATTATTGAGCGTTGTCATATTGGACAGGCCCGGAGAGACGACAAGTCGGCGAGTCGACGACTCAATGACTCAACGATCCCAGGACTCAACAGCTGCGTGCTGCACGGCGCGTTAGTTCGTTCGTGTAATTAAGTTTAATATTTAATTTAATTGCATATAGTAGACACACAACTACAACTACAACTACAACAACTGCAAATGACTCATAAAAGGGCACGAGCACGCGCCTGAGACAATGTGCGCCACTGACTTGCCTCAAAATTATAATGAAAGACGGAAGGCGAAAAAGGCTTTCAGGCAAAGTATAGAGCGGTTTGTCTTAGCCTCATCCACTGCAGCCAGCCAGCTGGTCAGCAAAGGTGAAGGCGAAAGTCCATGAATCGGTTGTGTCCA